TAAGGTTATAGTATAAATAACTTGAAATTAACTAATATTTTAAATTAAATGCAGAATAAAATAATTCTATATTTAATGTATGGTGGGAATATTTTCTCTTTATCTTTCATATACCAAACTACCTCAAATAATTTGGTGTAAATTTTGGATGGATATAAATTTATACCGACATGTATAGATGAGTATCTATGGATTAATGTTTAGCACGTGAAGCAAAAGACAAATTGGGTTTGTCCTTACTGAGATGAAGTAGGAGAGCAAGTTAAAAAAAAAAACATATATAGTACATGAATAAAGTGATAGGGGAGTTTGTTTCAAGAAATCTATCGATATGATGTGATTGGTAAAATAGAAGTATATGATAATGTCAATAGCTTTAATAAGAACCAACAAATTTAAGAAGAATTGATGAACTATCAAGTGTTGTTTGACAGATTTGATGAAGAAGACAAGAGGAAAATACTTCTGATTACTTTAAATGTATTATCTATCATTTTTAATTCACATATTATAAAAGTAAGTTTGTGATTGATAACTTAACTTTCTTCTGAATTTTATATTTGTGCTTTATTAAAGCATTTTCATTTGTAATATCATTATAGAGTGTATTACAAATTCTGTGATGATCATAGAATACTTAATTCTATCTAACTCTTATTTTCTTCATGCTTGTTGATTAGTAGAAGTTCGTTTTCTCGTTGGATTGATAGGATAAGCTAACCCTCTTTTATTTCTCTTGAAGATTTTTATTTTAATAAAAATTTGATAGACACATTGTTTAGTGATCTAATTTTTTTTAAAAAAAAGGAGCAATTAGTAATTTAATTTGGAAAATTGGGTCCAGAGGTTTAAGCGTTCGAAACATTAGCAATTCGACACTCGACAGACACTCTGAAAAAAGTGTTACAACATGGCTAGTAAAAAATTCATATACTATCAAAGATAAAAGCATATATCACAATTTCTTGGAAAATGATATCACATATGTAGATTAATGAGTTTTTTTTTTTAAACATGACGCGCTAGGTAAATTGAAATAATAGCCCATAAACTATATAAAAATAAATAAATTATATTAGATAAACTCCATACAATGAGCTCGGACCTCCTGATATAACAAGTAAGCGATTTGAAAATATCAAATTTATATATATTCCTTGAAAATAGAATGTAATAGCTCATCATATAACTAATTTCTCTATTTTCCTTTTACACAACGTTTCTTAGAAATTCTACTTCTCTAAATTGACTTGTAACTTATGTAGTGGTATATATTTTACACATAATTGAGACATATTATAAATAAAGTAACATAATGCAGTTACCTACGAATAAATAAATAAAAAAGAGGTGTGCACTTGAAGGCCACTAATGGGCAATATTGGGCTAATTATGAAAATGCCATCATCACCTAAAATTGTTGTCTATATATAGCAATTAATAATGTGAGGCTGTTAATGGGAATGAAGTAGAAAATAAGATATGCAATCAGAGAGAGCACAATGAATTTATGGTCATCTAGTTTCTACGCATGCTAAGTGTAATCATAGTTTATATATATATATATATATATATATATATATATATATAACCACTCTAATTGGAATATTTTCCATGACTCAACATAGCATTTTGGTATGTGACTATGTTCTCAAAAGTCTAAAACCTAAAAGAGAGTATCTTTCCACAAATAATATTTTTTATCGCTACGGATAGCTAGTTAATTGTTGGTTAGAGTTACACAATAATTAATTACGTAGAGCTTACTTCTGCAAAAAATATTTTTTGTTAGTTTTTTTTATAAAATAATATATAAATCTACTGATAATTTAGACTTGTTTATGTGGAATTACAAAATAATAATCAAATACCATACATGATATGATATGCTTGTTTTATCACATAACTAAATAGCTACCAAAACGTGACATTAGCTACTCATAAATACAATCGAAAAAGGAGTAACATGTAGTAAAAACTAGAAAGAGGCCTCATATTAAAAAATTACTTTAATATATATATCTCAATCTCAAATAAATTAGTATCAACCATATATATGAGTCTCAATATCCTGCTACATTCATATTCATCACTGTTAAAAATATATTTAAAAATGATGTAATATTTTTTTAAAATCTTATTAAAAAATGATGTAATTTTTTTTTTAAACCTTAATATTTAAACTGTATCACTTAAATTGAAACCAACAAACGAAAAATAATATAACTTGGATGTGATATGGGAAGGCCTAAAAGGGAAGCCCGTGAAGTGGGACGGCAATAGTGCGGTAAGGGTCACGAGAGTGAATTAATGGCTAAAATCCAAAGACAAAATGGGAACCCACTAAAACAACTTTCCAACTGAAACGGCCAAAAAAGTTGGTCACAGACCCACAGTTTCTTACACCCCTCTTTGACCCTTTTGTTGCTGTTTCAAATATCCAATGTTGTGCACCATCAACAATGTTACTTCATCCGTCTCACACTTTTCGTCGGAAGATTATATAGCATCTATATGGTTAAAGTAATTTTTTATGTATATATATAGTAGATATCAAACCTTTTTTGACTAGTTTGTATGTCTACTTCTTCAGATTTTAAATCTCCCTAATGAAAATTCTGACTTGCGTCAATGTGCGTAGTTCTTTAAATCTTATAATCTTAAACTTGTTAGGTATAATGTAAAAATTAGAAAAATTATTGAATATAAAAAAGACATTTTTTGAAACAGATCAAAAAGAAAAATAAATACTTATATTAGGAAGGAGATATATACCATCCAATGTTGTGATAGGATGGTTAAGTATTCAGATATTTTAAATTATAGATTTCAGATTTAAATTTGGGAATGAAGTTATCTTTGGTAGTTGTGTCCCAAAATGCATCGGGTAGGAAAAAAACAATGTTATGATTACATCAACGAAGGTTGTGGCGATATTGGAATACTTTTAATCATTTTGTGAGGTTTCGAATATGGATTATGAGAATGAAGAATTTCTTAATAAAAAGTTTTAGAATTTGAACTATATGGTTTTGATTTTGGAATTTTATTATAATTCATTTGATTTACTGAGTTTGAAATTAATTATTTATATTGATTTAATGGATTTTTAAACAAAGATATATAGTTCGAACGAATATTATTGAGTTTAGATAAATTCATATTCCTATGTCTACTTGCTATTTACTTTCCTTATTAGACCTAAATTACACGGTGCAAACAGAGGCGAATCCAGGATTTCAAGAAAACGGGTGCACCATTGCTTTAGAATTTCATTTTTTTTTTTTGAAAAAACTATTGTTATTAGTTACTACAAAAATTGAAGTGAATTGTGGTTGGCTGAGATTGAACTCAGGACCTTGGTGTTAAAACCTGACTGTCAAACCAGTGAACCATCCAACAACTTTTAAGAACGGGTTCACAAGTGTTTATTTAATATGTTCTTTAATAATTATACAAGTAATATATCGAGTTTAGTCGGATGACCACGGATTCGGGTGACCCAATTTTTACACATAAATTCGCCACTGGATGCAAAGCAACATTCAAGTAGGGAGTTCATACAATATCACTTATTGCTCAGAAGAATTGCTTATCATATATATATATATATATATATATATATATATATATATATATATATATATATATATATATATTACAAGTCAAAAACAACAAAATGCATGATAATTATAACATTTGAATCTTCTTGATTTGAAATACAAGCTTGATATAGTTTATTTTTATAAAAATTGAATTCTCCAGTAAAATTCTTGACTCCATCGCTGATCTGACCCGGGTGGTTATTCCAAAAAAAAAAAAACAAAAAAAATGTGCATATGAACCTAATAATGTGGAAACCCCTACGTCTTTACTTTGGTCTACAATCGAGGATTGACACCACTAAGATAATATAAGAATATTAATTGATGAAGTATACTTAACAAGTATATGAAACGTATGCATTTTAACTTTATCATGAAACTTGTTTGGACTATGATAGTAGTGATAATTGAGTAATCAACTTTTAGTTGATGCATTTAACTCTAGTTTGAGTGATCAATGAGTTTTCAAATGTCTTAATTCTTTATATAATCTTATTAAATAAGTACAAGTTTATAAAATTACATAATACACTATCACAAATATATTCTTAAAAACACATTACTTATTGATCAAGCTTCAATTCAATAAAAAAAAATTAAACATAAGTTACGGTGTACTAGTTTTTAATATAATCCTCCCACATAGTACGAACATTAATCTTCTCACGTTGAACTTGCATTTCTCGTTCATATGATTGAGAAGACAAACCAACATTGTTACTTTGAGTCATTTGTTGGTCAATTTGGTTGGTAAATATATTTGATAAAAAATAATAAATTTGGTGAATATAAATGATAGAGTAGAAATTGATTTGATGATTAATTCTATGCTAGTGAGAATAATCATTATATGAGATATAAATGGTTTAAAAAGTAATGATATGAATTATAAATTTTATTACATATAAAATAAATAATTAGTAGATATACATGTGGTTTTTTTTTTACAAAATATGTTAATCACATAAAATTAACATATCATCTCCTTTAATTATATGCATCAACTTCAAGTAGAAAAGGTTTGAGGGAGGAAGGACGAATTATGACTTATTGAGGCAAATACGTATAATAAGAGAAAATGACATATTTTATGTGGTTAATTTAACTACCTAATAGACAAATAACAACATAGGTGAAAAAAATATATCTAGTTGAAACAGTGTATTAGAAGTTAAGATGTTCAATTGAAACCTGACTCAGTTTAATTATGTTTTTAGCTTATTAAAATTGGTATGTGTATGTATGTAAAGCAAATAAAACAAAATCAGAAAGTGGAAAAAAGGTGGAGGAAAAAATAGTCCATTTCAGAGAATCTTTTACATCAATCCAAACACAGCAACATTTTAAAATTAACCATTTCAGTTACAAAATTTTGTCTATATAATACTACACCAAACTAATTCCATATCATATAATTCCACCAAGCAATGCACATAATTCCACTCTCATCTCAAGTAAGAAACTATTTACTCCTAATTTCTCTTTCTTTAGTGCAGTATAGAGAGCAATAACACAAGCAAATGTTCCTTCTTTCTTCTACCAACTTTTATGCTAAATCCTTCTTTCCCTTGAAAATGTCTAAATGTGAAATATTTTCTAATATTTGTGTTCTTGATCATCACGAAGCGTAGTGGGATGGATATGATCCTTTTATCCTTAAATAGAAGCTTTGAGTTTGAGTCCTAGAGCGGAAAAACTCTTGGCATGGGAATATGATCCCTCTTTGGTGGACCCTACAAAAGGGCATCTCGTGTTCATGTAGGGTCTAGGGAAGGGTTGCATTCCATCAGGATTCAGGGGTATGATGTAGATAGTCTACCCTGACACAAGCATCAATGACTGATTTCACAGCTTAAACCTATGACCTCATAGAGACAACTTTACCGTTACTCTCAGCCCTCGTAGAATAGGTCCAATGATTTTGCACACTAAATGCACCTAGAAAAGGGGGGGAAAGAGCAATTCTGAGTCAAGACTCAAGAAACACGGCCTTAAAAAGTTCATTTTTCTTAGTCTTGTGTGTTCAAGTTTTTTCTTAATATGTGTTCTTGCCTCTTGTTATGTTTCTGCAGATGGAAAAGACAAGTTGGTTGCTGGTAGTGGTAGTAGGGGTGGTGCTTATAAGTTTACTAGGAGGAGCTGAGGGAAGAAAATCAAGAATTCTTGATGAATCTTCTTACTATGATTTAGAATACTCAGCAATAAGTTGTAGAGCACACAGTGCATCCATAACAGATTTTGGTGGAGTTGGTGATGGGAAAACACTCAACACAAAGGCATTTCAAGAAGCAGTGAATCAGTTGAGCAAGTATGCATCAGATGGTGGATCTCAGCTTATTGTCCCTGCTGGTCAATGGCTCACTGGTAGCTTCAATCTTACTAGTCATTTCACTCTTTTCCTTCATAAGGATGCTGTTCTTCTTGCTTCTCAGGTACTCACTCTCATTTTTCACTTCAGTTTCACTTTTCTTAGTCCATTTTAAAAAGGGAAGTCCGGTGTACTAAGCTCCTGCTATTTGCGGGGTCTGGGGAAGAGTTGGACCACAAAGGTCTAATGTACGTAGCCTTTGCATTTTTGCAAGAGGTGGAAACCCGTGACTTCCTGGTCATTTGGTAGCAACTTTACCAGCTACGCTAGGCTCCCCTTTGCGTTTCCCTGTCCATTTCAGTTTATAAAAGGCAGTCTGATGCACGAAGCAATGCCACGTTCACGCAGAATCCAAGGAAGGGTTGCATTCCAAAAAGGGGTATGACATAGGTAGTCTATCCTGATGCATTACTGTTACTCCAAAGCTCCCTCTTCCAATCCATTTCAATCTATAAAGGGCCTTCAATCCATTTCACTCTATAAAGAGCAACTCCATGAACGAACGTCCCACATTCATGGGTCCCACAAAGCATCCCAAGGGTTAAGATATAGGCAATCTATCTGATGAAAGCATCAATGATTGATTCCACGGCTTGAACTCGCGATCTATAGGTCACACGAAAAGACAACTTTACTATTGCTATAAGGCTCCTCAATCCATTTCACTCTATAAACTTATTACTAAAAGTTCAATGTTTCGCCTTTAAAAAGACAAGTATATTATTTTGTATTAAAATGAAATAGACCTGAATAGATCGGAACGGATACATATGATTTGTTTCCCTCCCAACTGATTTGAAATTGAGGCGTAATTGATTGACTGATCGAATTGATTCAGGATATAAACGAGTGGGCTGTTATAGACCCATTACCATCATATGGTCATGGGAGGGATGCAGCAGGTGGAAGATACATCAGTCTTTTATTTGGAACTAACCTCACTGATATTATCATCACAGGTAAATTATATGCCTAAGCTATTAATTTCTCAAACTTGTAAGACATTATAAATTTGTGATTCTGTTTTTTATAAATGATTAGGTGAGAATGGGACCATAGATGGACAGGGTGAGATTTGGTGGCAGAAATTTCACAGCAAAAAGCTAAAATACACAAGGCCTTACCTGATTGAAATTATGCATTCTGATAATATTCAGATATCAGATCTAACTCTTGTCAACTCTCCATCTTGGAATATCCATCCTGTTTATAGCAGGTGATAATAAGCCAAAATCTTCAGTCTGACACTTGTTATCTATTACTATAGTACACAAAAAGCTTATCAAGAATCTTGTTACTTGTGAAATTTCAGCAATATCATTGTCCAAGGCATCACTATTTTAGCTCCAGTAAAATCACCAAACACTGATGGGATCAACCCAGGTTTGCTTTAATTTTTTTCCTATGCATATTTTAGTGAATAAAAGATAATCGTATATTGTTCGATTTTTGACTTTATTTATCTTTGGTTATGTACAGATTCTTGCACAAACATGAAAATTGAAGACAACTACATTGTATCTGGAGATGATTGTGTTGCAGTTAAAAGTGGTTGGGATGAATATGGTATAAATTATGGGATGCCAACAAGTCAACTGATCATCAGGCGCCTTACCTGCATTTCTCCTTATAGTGCTGCAATAGCATTAGGAAGTGAAATGTCAGGTGGGATTCAAGACGTTAGAGCTGAGGACATCACGGCTATCAACACGGAATCAGGGGTGAGGATCAAGACTGGTGTTGGCCGAGGCGGTTTTGTTAAAGATGTATATGTCAAAGGGATGACATTGCACACCATGAAATGGGTATTTTGGATGACAGGCAACTATGGACAACATGCTGACACTCACTGGGATCCTAATGCATTACCAGAGATAAAAGGGATCAATTACCGGGATGTTGTGGCTGAAAATGTGTCGATGGCTGCTCGTCTTGAGGGGATTTCAGGGGATCCATTCACCGGTATCTGCATTTCAAACGTGACGATAAGTATGGCAAAGAAGGCTAAGAAGTATCCGTGGACTTGTACTGATATTGAAGGAATTACAAGTGGTGTGCAGCCTCCACCTTGTCAGTTGTTGCCTGATCAAGGTCCAGAAAAGACAGAAATGTGTAGTTTTCCTACAGAGAATTTGGCCATTGATAACATAGAGATGCAAAGATGTTCCTATAGATTGAATTACTGATAAGCTATCCAAAATGTATTAGCAATATAACTGTAATGAACTATCTGAAATTTTAGTGCTTTCATCTTCAATGTTAACTCTGGAACATCCAGTAAAATGTGCATACAACAGCAACTACTGCTACACCTCAACTTCAAACAAGTTGGGGTCGGTCATATGAATCAACTCTGTCAGTGGTGTTATGGAACAACTACCGGACGAGTGGTAATAAGGAACTGACAATGTCACTCTATTTAAGCTCATGACAGGTACTAAAATGATATATTTTCTACTAGCATATAAATATTTGACATGGCCAAAAGACTTCTATCCCGAAAATGAAGTGTATGTTATATAAAAATTCCAAGGTTTTCATATGATGCTACAGCAGCTTCATTAATAAGAAGGCAAATTATGGATAAAACACAGTGATACAGAGATCAAGCAGAGATTCTTATCAACATGCAAAACACTGCAATAGGCATACAACTTCAAAACTCGTTCGTTCACTGTCCATTCTCACATGAACAATTTTCCATGTTATGTCAAACCACTTGAACAGGTAAAATGTTCAGTTCTATAAGCCAGAGAGAATCTGGCATCAAGGAGGAGTCAGTATTTAGAACCAACTGATTGCAGGCTACTCTTTAGGTTCTTTATACAACACCAATAAACCAAACACAACAAGAGAATAAGTTTCTGACTTAAGCCACTAACAATTTCTTGAACCAAATAGCTCCACCATATTTATTCAGTCATCTTAACTGGGGAACATTACAAATCTAATACACTATTTTAGAGAAGTTATGTCACCAAACGCTTATTGTATACATCATATAACCACGTCTCTTTCAATGAGTTGGATCAGGATTAAATTTTGCAGCTTCCCTCCAGATGAGCTCCTTGATATTATCTTCAGTGAGAGATGGCTGCTCAAAATCCAAACTGAAAGGCCTCGGACAAACAGGTTCCTCGTTGATTTCATGAAGAGGTGCCAAGTATGGGTGACAGAGAGCTTCATCAGCTGCAATAATCCAGAAAAAAGGCTATTAACCAGAAAATCTTGTTGTAGTCCTTTTTTTCAACTTTCACTAGCATTTCAGTAAATTTAGAAAGATTGTGTGGAAATGAGCCTTAATACGCAAAAATGCATCGCAAATTCTTTACCAGTAATACGCCTGCTTGGATCAAAGACGAGCATCTTTTCAAGCAAATCTACAGCTCGGGGAGATGAATTTGGGAATCTGGCAGCAAATTGTTGCCTTGGGTACCTTGGAAGTTGTCTAACGTATCTCCGGGCATTATTACTCCGGAGAAACCCAAGACTGGCATCATCTGGTGAGCCTATGAGCTATTGAAAAAGCCAATTAGAGCAATGTCAGTTGAACTGGTTCAGCTCCAAGCCAAAAGGAACTTCTAAATGCATGCAAACCAACAGAAAATCCTAAATAAGTAGATAAAGGTGCACAAAGTTCAACAAACAAACAAAGATCAGAAGGAGAGATCAAACATGGAGCTCTTCTTGTTCAAAGATTCCATCATTATTCGACATACTCCTGCTTAAGCTAAGGTATCTGTTAGGATGATGCATGAATTCAGAAACTACAAATGCTATCTACTAGTATACCTCAGTGATAAGTCTCAACTGGTGTACGTAATCTCTGCCAGGAAAAAGGGGTTGTCTTGTCAATATTTCACCGAGTATGCAACCCACTGACCAAATATCAATTGCCGATGTATATTCTGAACAATTTAGTAGCAACTCTGGTGCACGGTACCAGCGTGTCACACAATATTCCATCATGAAATCTGTCTCAGTTGTCGTCCTTGCTAGCCCAAAATCTCCAATCTTTAGGTCACATTTTGCATTGACAAGCAAATTGCTGGGTTTTAAATCACGATGCAAGATATTGGCAGAGTGAATGTACTTAAGTCCTCGCAATATTTGGTACAGAAAATGCTACAAAATCAAAAAAGACAACCACATAAAATGTTGTATAAAAATGAAGATAAGTTCCAAACAAATGCACATTATTATGGGAATATGAAACAACAATAAAATTTGACTGTATATATTTGTAATTCTTAGATCTGATGTACAATATGTGGACAATATGCATAGTTGTCAGGTAATTAAATATGAATATACGACCAAAAACCTTTAAAAAATAGGTGAAGCAGCCCATAACCTTTTAAACCCTTTTAGATCCCTTATATTATTCATGTGGAACACTATATAACTCAGCAAAGGAGACGACAGTCAGCTAGAAAAATTTTAAGAGCAATGTGCCTGGGAGGAATAGGATAATTCATACAGAATATATCACTCAGGGTTAACAAAATACTGCCAGATTGTTCCTAACAGTTTCGAAGAACAGAGGAAGGAAGCAAGGTTAAAACAGGCCATAAGAAAATTATCTTCCGAAATTCTCTAGTGATTCTGAACCAATCATCAATAATCTATATCTTTACATGCATCCTGGAAGAGAAATGAATATTAAGAATCTGCGCAAGATGGGAAGTCGTAATATAAAATAGTCTGTTTGGACACCAGACAAGTGTTTATTGCTTTGAAATCTAAATAAAATCCCAAAAGGGTGTATCAAGCCAACAATTCCAAGGTTCATTGCTATGAATTAGATTCTAATTCAGAACTATACAACAAATAATAAATCCAGCTAGCTGGTTAGATAAGAAGAATCACAATTATGGAATTAGTGCACGACATGAAGTGTAGCTTACTCGACAGTGTTCATCAGTCAGCTGTTGGCTGGAATGAATAATCTGATGAAGATCAGTGTCCATTAGTTCATAAACAATGTACACATCATTAAAATTCTTCTTTTGAGGAGGCCGTATAACATCTTTAATTGCAATCACCTGCATATTTGGAAAAAGTTGCATGTAAGTGGGATTCTGTATCACCTTCCACAAGATCTTAAAATATTAAGCATTCTAAAAGTACAAGAACAGTACTCAGAGATAATCAATTAGTTATGATAAATGCACATGCTTCCCATTTTTCAAATGGCAAATCTTACAATTAAAATAAAAATAGATCATCTTAACCTTAGCAAATGGGTTGAACTTAAGGCTGGGCACCGGAACGGGTTGTACCAGTACCATTCCAGTACCATTCCGGTCCGTTCTGGTCCGGTAGTATTCGGGACGGGATGGGATACATTGAACCGGTACACGGAACGGAACGGTACCATGATTTGGTACCGGTATACCGGTACCGGTTCATCCCGGTTCATTCCGGTTCCGTTCCGGTCCGGTCCGGTACCAGTCCGGTCCGGTCTTGGTAAATCATTTTTAATTAAAATAAAAAATAATATTTTTGTCATTATTTACTTTTATTAGCATTTCTTTTTTGTTTATTTAATTTTTTTAAAATTACAAACTTAAGTTATTTAACTTACAAGTTATAAGTATAACTTAATAACTTATAAACTTCAAAAGATTCAAATCTTTAAAACTTATAACATAACTACATAAGCTCAAAAACTAAAAAAAAAAACTTTATTAAACTTAACTTACAAACTTATATACGTAAAAATTTAAAAAAAAATCTTTAAAATAAACTTAAGTAAAATTATTATAAATTTTAAAACTTAAATACTATAAACTAATATAACTTAGAAAAATAAAAAAAACATTCGAATTTTCGTAATTCAAAATAACTCAAAAAAAATAATTATTTTTTGAAATAGCTATATGTGTCGTCCCGTTTATCCCATCCCGTTCCGTTCCGGTCCATTCCGGTCCGTCCCGGTTCCATCCCGGTATATAGTGGGACGGGACGGAACTGAGCCTCCATCCCGGTAGTTCCGGTCCGGTTCATCCCGGTACCGGTCAACAACCCGGTCAAACCGTCCCGTTCCGGTCCGATACCGGTTCGTTCCGGTCCGGTGCCCAGCCTTAGTTGAACTTGACAATGAAATAGTAAATTTGAAAGAAGTATTCACTTCAAACTTGTACTTTCTTAACACTAAAATTATATACTTATACCAACTTCCCTTTCGTTTCTACGCCTCTCTTTTCCGACTGAAGGCAGTAGATGGAGAGGGGGAGGCGACAGTAATATTCAATTTTATTGCCTAGTCTACCATTTCAGAGTAATATTCATTATGTTCTTGTTTCTATCTTTTTCTCTTTTCCGCCAACATTATACATGAAAGGTATGAATATAACTGGTGATGCCAATTCTCACTGGTATCAGAACCTCTGAAAATACGATAGATTGTTTAGAGGCCTTAAGTTCATCTTTTCACATTGCCCTTCTTAGCCTGCATCATTTTCTTCAGCCTACTCTAGTGATATAGCATACACCTCAAAAGCCCCACTCCAGAGAAAAACAAAATCAAATCCATGTATATTACATCCAGCAAAAAAAAGAAGAAGGGAAAAACCACATGTAAAAGTACAAGAGGGAAGTAGTGATAGATGTCAACTTTTTAGTGAATAAACAAGGCAAAGACAAATGAAGATGAATTGGTCGAAGGGGCACGGGTGCAATATTCAGATTTCTGGAAAGGTACAATACTCACATTCTCATGATCCATGTGACTGAGAAGCTTTATCTCTCTTAATGTTCTTTTGGCATCTATTACATTATCAAATGCATTCCCAATCTTCTTAATAGCTACTTCCTCACGTGTCTCCGAGTTCACAGCAGCACTGCAGCAAAATTTAAAATATATATATTAACATGCAGTTTACAGTCACATAGTAAAAAAATAGAGGAGAAACAATATCATAAAGGATAAGTGCAACATATAAGATCCTAATTGCAACAAGGAAAAAATTTAATTAAATACTCTAAAACTTGCATAACCTAAGCTTCAACAAAGTCACATGATATATCATGTATATCATGACCATACTGCAACTTCCAAGAGCTTACATTAGATTGGTAGGACATGAATATACAAGGAAAAAGTGAGTTTGAGCAGATACTAGTCATGCGAATGGTAACATAGAAGCAACCATACCCCTATACCTTCAGTGTCATAAAGACTAAAATCTAATGGAAACTCATCATAAGAGACCTTATAGCAGTGTTGTATTAGGAAATGACCAATTGAAGAAGTGAACATCATTAAGCATCTCTTTCTTTCTCTTTCTCTCATAAGACAGAGATATGGCTGAGCATGATCTGATTCAGTTTTTTCACATATCAACCACACAATCTTACAAATTCACTGGATCCAACTTCAATTATCAAATATTTTGAAATCTTCCACGTTTGAACTAAATGAAACTCCCTCAATTTCACTTTATATAATCGTCTTCAATTAGGCAAAGAGTTTGAGAAAGAAAGAAAGATTTTTTGGCATGACATTGCTCTACGACTACAGAAACATATCCATGTCGTAAAATGAGAAGTTTAAAGTTAAAAGAGTTTTGATATCATTATTTTTAAGATTCTAAAACAAAACAAAGGGAGTAATTAATAGTTTGGACACCTCTAGACAACAATCACAAAGAGCTTAAACCAAGTAATAGGTGAAACGATGAAGCTATAACCTCAAGGTAAACAAACTTAATCTCCATGCAGGGACAAGCTTTGCTCCTCTTCAGAGAGCACTATTTATGTAAACACACAAAAATTCACATACCTATATAACTAATAAGGGTAAAAGAGATACAGAGTTTAAACCTAAAAACAGGACAGCCGGTGCACTAAGCTCCCGCTATGCCCAGGGTCCAAAAAGTACACACAGCCTGCATTTCTGCAAGAGACTGTTTACACAGCATGAACCCCAACAACTTTACTAGTTACGCCATTAAAACCTATGCATATAAAAAGATGGAAAAAAATTTCTTTTCTTACCAAACCATTCCATTAGCTCCACGACCAATAGGTCTAATAGGAGGAACATATTTTCTTGAAACTTCAAACAGAGAGCCGTGCACATTATACTGAACATAGCGACCCCCATGAGTTGGAACCCCTCTTATGTTACTGTGCCCACCATGATCAGCTGAACTTGAATCAAGAGACATCTGAAAATCAAAACAAGAAAAGGGGTTGAAGAATCTTGAACTATAACACTCTAAATCAAAAAAGCCCCTTTTTTTGCCCAACAACAAGAAGAGAAGAAGAAGAAGAAGAAGAGTAAATGGATATTTGGTGTCTTTTCCTTTTTGGGTGGCTAAATTGTGATTCTCTTTTCAATTTTCTAGAGAGTCCCTGCGTGATCATGTGGGAACTTTTGAACTGGAACGCTGCCATTGTTGTTGCCCGTGAAGAAAATTGACTTTGCTTTTCTTTTTGCCTTCTCTTTATTGTTGTACTGGATGAGTCCTCTTCAAATTTTCACCACACAAGTGTGTAAAGATTTGACTACATACGATGCTCTTCCATATAGCTAATATAGAAAAATAATAATTGTGGCAACCATTTTGTTTGCCATAATTCTCATTTTAAAGTATAGTTAGGGGTCATTTGATTCATGAATATTTGGAATAATAATTAACACTACTTTTGATACACAAGTAGTCTTAAATTATGATCGAAATTCTAGACATACACTTTAACTAAATTAAGGTTCTATTATTCTAACAGTTAATTCATTTATTTTATTTTTGTAATTTTATACACATTTGGCTTACGTGACACACTCCATGACTCCACACAATTGAGGTGCGTGAGAGATGTTTGAATGTCACGTAAGGCAAAAAAGTGTACAAAAATACAAACAAAATGCCACGTTGTCACACTTTTTTTTTCCTTAAGTTTTGTGTCAAGTTAAAATATGATAAAAAAATTGAAACGCAAAGAATATATGCATCAAAACTTGTATTCATAACACATTTTACATAGAGTATAGAATATGAAATGAATCTACTTACATTAACAATGTAGGAATAAACTATTTAAACACAAAAATCTCATTATTAATCAGTGCATAATCATCTATGTACTACTTCTCCAATAAACAACCATTATACTATAATGTGAAATACAACTAGTATGTAAATCAAACAAACTATGAAAATTATTTGAAATATCTATAATAAAACATTGATCACATATTAAAGATATCAAGACCCAAATTCAATATACGTAATGGTACCTACAAAACTGCGTTAAATGAACCGTTCCAATCCAAAATTCAAACCAAACCAAATTCAAAATTAGTATGTCATTCTTAGTGTTTTAGTCAAGTATAATACAAGTTTCAAAATGCTTAAACATATCATGATAAAACAAAGAATCTGAAAATTAATTTTAAAAAAACACAATTCTGTTTTAGGTACAGGCCATGGAGCTCACAACATTTACATGAAAATGATAGCAAAAAAGAGGTGAAAGATGACTAGCAACCAAGGGTGTGGCTTAGTGATCGATAAAGTGGATTGAGCACCATGACATCTCATGTTCAAATCTCAACGGCCAACATAGACAATATATATATTTGTATCTGACTCCATTTGCACCTTATTTTCATTCACATTGTGAGTTATTCATAGACACCCCAGAGAACAAAAGTATATCAAAAATGATCTTTAGCGGCAATTAATTAACGACAATAACTTAATTGCCACTAAAAATGTATTTTTAGCGGCATTTAGCACTCTTTGTAAAAAAGCCTATAGCGACATTGGATCCAATAACATTTAACTAATGCCAGTAAAGACTTTATCATTCTTTGTTAATATGTATATTTATTGCCACTAAAGGTTGTTTTTTGTGTAGTGAACTAAGTATATGTTAAAGATTTAAAGGTTCAACTTCATTGGATGTGCAATAGAAATGAAACAAAGTTGCTATTAAAATACACAATAAATTTGAAAACAACAAGGATATATATATATATATATAAACAGAACTTGTTTTAACACTGCTAAATAACAAAGTACAGATATCTTAAAATAACATGTTGAGCTGAAATAACCTAATTTTGACTATTAAAGACAATCAAAAGACTGTAAAACTTAAGTGGAAGGGCTAAAGTGGTCTGTGACTAAACTTTAAAGCAAAATGGAGCTTTGACACCAGCTAGAGCAAGAATAGATGCTGAAATTCCCCACAATGAGTCACCACTGCAGGTCCGAAATCTTTAGCCTTGTGCTTGTTATACATACATTTGCCAACCGAATAGAATCAATGAGCCTAGACACATGTCAATAGGTAAAATAGAATGGCCATGCACATAGGACTTGGAATGAATCGATAAATTCTATACTTGGTCTCAAATTTCTTCAGCAGTTGAGTCACTATATAGGTTGATGAGAATAGAGAGATTGAGACAATGACATGGAACGCGGGAAGGCAGAAGCTGTGTGTCTAGTCTAGTATGCTCATCATCAAACCACATGAAGCTATATATCACTCCACTATTCTCCAAACCAACCCAATAACTGAATGTAAGGATTGGAATTTTTCCGTAATTAATTTGAGGTGAGGGACCAATCAGTGAGGCCACCAACATGGAAAAGACCATCATCTTTCTTAGTGCAACAAAACAAATGAGAATAAACCGGCAAAGCTAACAACAAGAACATAAGGAAGCATCCATTGAGTGGTAAAAGATAAACCAGGAAACCTAACAATAAGAAAACTCGCACCCAAGGAATGTGATATAGACAAGCCAGGATACATTGAATTGAGAATTATTTAAGTATTAAATTTAAACAATACAACAACAACATAACTAATATCTTCCCGCAAAAGTTAATTAATAAAATACATAAAATTTTAAAATGGTACAAGATTTGATGTTATGTTATTTTTCAAAAGAAAATAAATAGTGGTAAAAGATGGTGGAGAAGAAATCAGCTTACAGGTTTGTGGAGGAAGACGTTTCTTAAAGGCATTTAAATACAAAAATTTAATGATTAGCAAATGTGAGTTAATTGAAGTTTGAATGCTTTTAAGACTTCCGCATGGATCTGATCGAATCGGACCGAATAAGTGGCGAAATCTTAACAAAAAAACATACTTTATAACTTAAAATTTGAATAATTCAAATTTAGACCTCTATTAAATGCAAATAAATTAGGCATAAATCAATAATAAATCAGCAAAAGTCAATTCATGTTAAATTAGTCAAACCTCGAAAAATTATAAAACGAAAATAACCCATAAGCTCATAATTTCTTTGATGTAATCAAGTTTGATTTTGACTTACATTGTTAAGTCAAATCTTTTTCTTTCTTCTTTTTCTTCATTTTTCTAGTTAGGCCAAAATTCTCCCAATTTCATCTTTGGAATCCCATATATTTTATGGTTTGAACTAAACTAAAATTGAACTATAATAATCCGAGAGTAAGAAATAATTACTAATATATTTATATGTAAAAATTTCTTCATTTAATATTATTTATGAATAGTGGTGAATTTAGAATTTTCATCAAGAGGATTCAAAATATGAAGAAGTAAACATATAAAGAAATTGAAGGAGCTCAATATCTACCATATATTTATTAAAAATAATGGTAACCATGTATAAAAAGTGTAATTTTATAATTAAACCATTTTTTCCACTCCTAATACAATGTGTGCCAAATTGGCCAATGTTATGATCAATGCATTTCTTTCAATTTATGAATATTTGGAGCTCGTGTGTAGGGGCGGAGCTACTAAAGGTAATAATCCGCATCAAATTTGAGAATACTTTCAATACTTCTCTCTTAATTTAAACAAAATGTCCATAAAACAATTATTCTTGTTTCACTATAAATAGACCCTCCAATAAGACTTGATGTCATGGGTGACACATGACGTTCTCAATCAAATTTGTTTGGGATGTTGTTCTCTAATTTAGAGATCATATTTTCTTTTTCATCATTTAATTAGTGAATTTATCTGTGCTTCATGTGGAGTAAAAGAACAATGTCACCCGTCTTCTTTCTGAAATAATTTTTATTTTATTTAAAAAATAATTCTGACCATGATAATTTCAAATTAAATTTGAAGTTGAAATCTGAATTTGAAAAACTTTGCAACTACCTTCATGTTTAGAATTTCAAATAAAATGTTATTTTGTCTCATTTGTGGAAAATATAACAAAACACAACACCAATTTTAAAAATTTCTAGTAAAGTGCAAAAATATTTTTTTCTAATTATATATGGCCAAATGTCCACCAAATTCATGATCTATTTTTTTTCTTCTAATACTCGAATATTAAAATAATCAAAACATATCTTTTTATTAGAATCAATTTTATTTTCAATATTTTGTTCAAGCGTATAATCTAAACAGAAGAAATCATAACATACATACAAGTCTTTTTCGAAACTTAAGTTTTCAAATTCTAAACTAAAAGTTACATAAAAACATCATCTATATTTTGTTTTAAACAAATATGAAAAAATATGTATAAAAATAGCTTGTTGACAGACCTTTGAGTACCTCCGTAATAAGTTGGCGAAGCATTGTGTATAGTCCCACCATTTTAAGACATGTTTTATCACTTACGAGTCAACTTTCAGGAATTAGCTGACTTTCTTGGTTTTTAGTGTGTTAATGGCCCATTGATCTAGCGCCTTTGAGCATCCAAAAAATAATTCTAAATTTTTTTTATGAGGACCTCCGTAATGAGTTGGGGAAGCATTGCATATAGTCCCACCATTTTTTAAGGCATATTTTCACCAATGTTTAGAAATTAGTTGACTTTCTCAGATTTTGGTGTGAATTAGCCCATGGATCTAGCACCTTGGAGCACCCAAAAAAAATTCTCAAATTTTTTTATGAGAACCTCCATAATGAGTTGGGAAACATTGCGTATAGTCCCACAATTTTTAAAGGATATTTTCACATTTACGAGACAACTTTTAGGAACTAGCCGATTTTCTCTATTTTTCATGTGTATTAACCCATGAATCTAACGCCTTGGAGCACCCTAAAAAAAATTCTGAAAAAACTTTATGAGAACTTCTGTAATGTGTTGGGAAAACATTTCCTATAGTCCCACTATTTTAAAGGTATATTTTCGCATTTACAAGCCAACTTTAGGAATTAGCCAACTTTCTTGATTTTTCGTGTATATTATTAGC